TACCTGTCCACACTGAGTGCACACAGATTGAGAACTGTTATTCCGACTGATGCTTTCTGTAGAAACGGCATCAGTTTGCACAGGAACAGACCGAACACACTGTCATCGAAGGGCCACCGCATCGCCAGCAGCTACAACACACACACACACACACACACACACAAAGAGTTCAGATTCTGTTAAAGCATATCTTCACCACCTGTGTGATATATTTAAAGACAAACGAATGAAGCGCTTTTATCTTCGTGACGTGTGTGTTGTGAAGTGAGTCACGTGTGTGTGATTGAACTTGTGATGAGTGTTAGACTGATAACTGTCCCAAAATAAGCCTGACTGACCCACTGCTGCACACGCTTACCTAGATCAGTATTGGTTTATATATATTAGTGCTGTCAAAATTAATTTTTTAAGTTTAACGCGTTAAAAATATTTAATGCAATTGACCCCCCACTCACAACTGCTGCTTCTGTCTCTATTTTCTTGACAAGAATTGTGTTTATTTAGACGCAGAACGTCTTCACGACACATCAAACGGGAGACTTTTTTCAGACGCGCGCTCCAACTTCACCTCAGCACCGGTGTATATAAATGTATATAAAAAATAAAAAAACTGAACTAAGATGAGTTTAAGTTGAAGTATTAAAATTACTAAAACATTACTAAAAATTAAAGCTAAATAGAAGTAAAATAAAAATTGTAAATTGTAAATACATACAATTTTATTTATAAGACACTGCAAAATTACTAAAACTTAAACTAAAATTACAATTTATATAATTACAAGACAATTTTTAAATTTAAATTAAAACTATATTGATATATAAAAATAGGGTAACACTTCACAATAAGGTTCATTAGTTAACTGCTTTAGTTAACATGAACTAAGAATGAACACAGCATTTATTCATCTTAGTTAATGTTAATTTCAACATTTACTAATGCATTATTAAAATCAAAAGTTGTGCTATAGTTAATATTAGTTAATGCACTGTGAACTAACATGAACTAACAATGAACGACTGTATTTTCATTAACAAAGATGATACTGTAATAAATGTACTGTTCATTGTTCTTTCATGTTAGATAATAGCATTAACTAATGGAACCTTATAGTAAAGTGTTACCAAAAATAGTAGTTTAATATAACATTGACACTAACATCAAATAACACTGACTTAGATATCTAAATCATTAAGCTAGTTATATTAACTACAGACTAATCCAAACCCAAACCTCCCATTACTTACATGATTTTTCCATCATTTTTTGACACTAAAAGCAAGTTTGTGACACAATTTTGTGCCTAAATGATCACTAATAAACACACACACACACACACGTGATCTAGTGTTCTGATTGGCTCTTGTCGCCTGTGTTCGTTACCTTATAGACGTTGATGGGGATGTCGATGGCGATGTAGATGAGGTCTCCCAGCGCCAGGCTGGCGATCAGAGCGTTCGGGCCGTTCCTCATGGTCTTGTTGAGGTAGATGATCCTCAGCAGCGTGGCGTTTCCCACCATCCCCACCACAAAGATGAGGCTGGACAGAACCGTGTTGACATATTTGAACAAGCCCTCGATGTAGGTCCTCCTCAGACACGCCGGGGGCAGCGACAGCGGCCGGACAGCTCTGGGGTCAGGGGTCACGTGCTTTGACCCCGAGGGCATCATCAGAGATTCGTGACCTGAGCTTTGGCCGGCTGTCAGGTCATCGGAGAGCTGGAAGCCATTGGATGAGTTTGATTGACAGGTTCCACAGCCAATCAGCACACAGGATACGGCGGTCATTAGCAGCGTGACCCGCTGGATTTTGGGGGGCCGCATTGTAGATCAAAGACTCCTATTGTCAATAGTTCGGTGGAAAGTGTCTCTACAGGATGCAAACAAAGAGAAACTGTTCTGGGTTAAATACAGTGCGACTTTATGGGTGGCATCTGTGACGCGTTCACTCAAAAATCACCTTGAGAGTGATGCAGTTACAATGGACGTCAATGGGGCTAGACTTCAAACCAGGATAAATGTTCAAACACTCGCACTGCTTTTGAAAGTTTCACCACAAGACTTGAGACTATAGTGTGATTAAATCACTCTAACAACATATGCAACCACGAAACATGACAACTTTCGTTTGATATGTGAAAAAAATACAACAAAGTGATGTTTGCGTTGAGAAAAATCCAATCTGTAACACAGTTAAAACACTAAAAAGGAAGATTTAGCTTTATTTATTAAGATTTATTAACATTCAAGTTATGAAAACGTTATTCCAGTTCTTTTCCAGTCTTTTAAATGGCAAACGGTAAGGAAACGTTCAGATTTATAATATTGCAAACATTATGGGAACGTTACTTTTGAAGATTCTGAAACAAGTACCAGTCAAACGTTTTTGAACAGCAGGATTTTGAATGTTTTTTTTTTTTTAAAGAAGTCATTTATTTGATCAGAAATACAGCAAAAGCAGTAATATTGTGAAATATTATTACAATTTAAAACAGCTGTTTTCTATGTGAATATCTGTTAAACTGTAATTTATTTCTGTGATGCGCAGCTGTATTTTCAGCATCATTACTCCAGTCTTCAGTGTCACATGATCTTCAGAAATCATTCTAATATGCTGATTTGCTGCTCAACAAACACTTCTGATTATTATTATTATTCATATTTAAAACAGTTGAGTAGATTTTTTCAGCATTTATCTGAAATAGAAATCTTTTGTAACATTATAAATGTCTTTATCATCACTTTTGATCAATTTAAAGCATCCTTGCTAAATAAAAGTATTAATTTCTAGTAAAAGTAAATAAATAAATCATTTTTTAAAATATCCTGACTCCAAGCTTTTGAATGGTAGAGTGTATAATGTTACAAAAGCTTTTTATTTCAGATAAATGCTGATCTTTGGATCTTTCTATTCATCAAAGAATTCTGAAAGAATGCTGTTTTACATATTAATAATAAATGTTTCTTGAGCAGCAAATCAGCATATCAGAATGATTTCTCCATAATGTGTGCTAAACATTATATCCCAGGAAAAAAAAGGTTTTAAAATATTTTTTAAAAAACTGGACCTTTTGAATGTTCAGAGCACCTTACCTCTTGCTGTGAGCTGAGTTAGTGCTTTAATAAAAACATAAACACACATTCTGGCTTTCGCTGCACTTGCCCCATAGCCTTCTATCGTAATGCATCAGTGTGTGATTTTTGCTGGTGTTTTCTGACTGAGGGATGAGTTGTAGTGTTGTGTGGTAACTGACAGCATGATGCAGACGTTGCACATAATATAAGAGTTGGACACACATGTCAGTGATTGTGTCTCAAACGCAACACGCTTCTCTGGAAAGCCACAAACACACTGTTCGCATCAGTTCAGCCAAACGAACTGATTCACTTTGAACTGCAGCAGCATTGAGTTTAACACGAGATCAGAAACTTACTAGATCTCCTGAGATCTCTAACGTCTCGGTTCTTTCTCATCGACAGCCATGAGACTCGATGGAGACTACTGCTGAAGTCTCTTCATCATCATTCAGATACTATTATAGTTGTTGTTAATATTTTTAATTACATTTTAATTTCATTAGTGCTGTCAAACGATTAATCGCATTCGAAATAAAAGTTTTTGTTTGCATAATATATGTGAGTGTACTGTGTATATTTATTATGCATTTATAAATACACACACATGCATGTATATATTTTCAAAATATTTTCATGTATTTACATGCATATATGTAAATTTATATTATTTATAAATATATTTAATATATAAACATAACATATTTTAACATAACTATACACAGCACACACACATACTGTATATTATGTAAACAAAAACTTTTATTTTGAATGCGATTAATCGTTTGACAGCATTTTGTTTTTGTTAAAGTTTTAGTGATTTTATTGCATGATTTTTGTAATGTTTCATTTGTTTTTTTATGTGTATATATATAGTTTTAGTTGCATTTTAGTTAAAGTTTTAGTAATTTTGTTGCATGCTTTTGTAATTTTACATTTTTAATGAGTATATATAATTTTAGTTACAATTTTAGTCATTTTGTTGCATGTTTTTGTCATTTTTATTTGTTTTAAAAAATTGTTTATTTAGTTTTTGTTTATTTAATTTGAGTTATTTTAGTACTTTAAAATAAAAAAAGAGAAATGTTGCCTGAGAAACTAGCTGATTTTTTTCTATTGATTTATTTTATTATAGTTAACATTTAATTTATGTAATGAAAATGTTTTTTGCAGTTTTAGTTAGGGCTAGAATTTCAGAATAAAGATCTCTTTGTCTCAATCTGTGCTCAAAATGCAAACATTTCTCATCAAACGATCTGAACTGCTGTCTACGTTAGTTTTATAACTCTATACTCTTACTGTATGACAACTAGTGACTCATTTGAGACATATTTATTACTCTACTTTTTAAGGGAAAAACAAATCTGAGACTAAATTAAATACTCAAAAGTTTCCTGAGCAATGAAAGTGTGTGTAAAACAGTACAAACACCGTGTATTTGTCAGTAAAGCGAGCAGACAGACAGACGTGCACAAACACACACTGACCTTCAGAATGAAGCTGATAAACTCTTCTCTGTCTCTTTCTCTCCTCGTGGACTGAAGCTGCTGTGACCCGAAAGCTCCCAAATCTTCAGTGACTAAATCCAGAAGAGCGGTCGGATGGAGCGGATCATGCAG